GATTCCTCGTCCTTTGTGGCGCGAGATAATTGCGGTAATAATTTTTCTGCTCCGTTGTCTACGGAGATTATCGAGTAAACAGTCTCGTCGACAAATGACACTGCTTGTCGAGTGAAAATCTTTTAGTAGAACAAGTGTTCCTTATGCAAACCGAATGAAAAAATTAAGCGTGTTTCTTTTAAGTTCAAAAATAATAAACCAGATAAAGGAAGTTTACTTGGTATTACTTGATATATTTACTAAATAAGTGAATAGATAAAAATTTTTTGGGGTTTGTACAAGAAAACACTTTGTTACATTACAGAAGGGTCAAAACCTAGAATTATGTCATTTTTGTATATGTTATAACGCCTTCTTTTAAACTACCCCTTTCGTTCTGTGTGTGCGTTTCTACGAACATTTCCGCTGTTGGCAGACGTCAGCGGTGTTGCCATGGCGGCGTTGTCGCAACGACGGTATAAGATTGTCGACCCAAGTCAAGAATAGCGTTTGTCAGGCGCGGGGACCCAGTTGACCTCGCGAATGAATACTCAATTGGAGCCGAGATGAAAATATGAATATAAATTGAATTGAGGAGCGTGTCGGGGAAATAGAATATCTCAAAACTACTCGACCGGACGTAAGTTCATTTGACGGGACAGTCGGTTTCGTGACGTCTCCGAATATTGTTTCGCGTAAACCACCGCCTTAGCATACGAGTCGATTCAGTAAACGATTTTTCGTAATTTTTTAAAGCTTTAAAAAATACGACATTCTTGTAGCAGACCACCTAACTTTGAATTCTTTCTACAAAATGTGAATTAATTGCAATGCCATGATGAGAAGTACTCCAAAAGCTAATACATACAACTGATCTACCGCTTTTTAAATTATCTGCTGTGCAAGGTTGGATAATTTTTTAAGTAGATATGATAGTCGGGATCTGAAGCTATTTGGTAGTTAGCGGACACGAATCGTTCCCCCATCTCGAAATAATACGCCTGCGTCATTTCCTGTTTGTAGTTTAGCCCTGGGGACGAGGAACGCTTGGATACATCAACCACGGGAAAAATTAATACGGTTCAATATCCGTGACATGTAGCTGCCGTTCTATCTTTTTTTCCTGCTGCCGATAAATCCGCAAGTCTACGTCCCGGTTTTCCAGGTAGGTGGGCCGTATCCCAAAAAGAAAAAAAAACGTTGATATATGAAGGCGTTTGTCACGGGATATTTTGTCACGGCGGATTCTTAAACTGGAGAAAATTACCTTTCTTTCTCGGGTGACGAATGACGGGAATAAATCAGACAGAAAATGTCGCTTGACGCCTCGATTTTTGAATATGACACCGCTAATAGGAAGCGGCTATAAGGTCAGCAATATTAACTGACACACATAAACTTCGAAGTAAAAATGTATCAAGATGGTTTCGTTTTGCCTAAACCATCATCATTTTATTATTTAATAAATTTTGATCACTTTATCTACCTACATATGATCTTCGTTGGGTTTATTTTAAAACATGGTGAAATACGTAAAATTTAAGGGAATGAGATCTAGAATCAAATGTAGAAAGAATAAAACAGTATAAATGTCTGGGAATTGGAATTGGAATTCGGCGAAAGATATCAAATGTACAATTAAGATGAAACTTACGGCGTACACGACATATGAGCAAATTCTTAGAAATCTTGACTAAAATATATCCCTTTGAATCCATTATATCCGGAGACTTACCGGCCCTTTTTAAAACTACTTTTTATAGGCAGGGTTGCGAAAGAATAAATATTAGAAAGATTTCAATCGAACTGAGAATTGTTAACATCTATTAATTATCATCTATAAATAGTTAAATTTTACACACATTTTTAGACACGTCAGTACAATAAATGGTAGAAGAGGAATTGGAAGAATAGACAAGAAATATTTAACTGTGGACTGGATTAAGAACGATAGAAGAGCTTGTCGGGGGGATCATTTCGTAGTCTCCAACATTCATTGAGTATATAGGCGGAATGATATGTGGCTCCCGGTTGGGTTGCAAGCTATGTTGATGTTTTCCTCTGTTGCTTTCTGTTTCTGTCTTTGGCAGTCTGTCGAAATTCTTTCCTGATGTGCTCTGTGTAATTCTGTCGACTATGTTACCCTTGACCTCCCCAGGAACGCGAGACTGAGAGTTTTCAACATTCAAAGCAGCAGTTTCTTCTTACACAGACACAAACATTCCGTAGTAAACAATTTATACCTGCTAAATTCGAGTCCGAAGTCCTTACTTTTCCGATAAGTTTGTTCAAGCCACACCCGCGGGTAAACTCAGAGAGGGGCTTAATAATAATCGCTTACACGAACCGGTGGTAAGTGGCAAAAATATTTTCTCTCTAATCTACTTAACAAACGTCTGACTTTCTCGACAGCGCTCGCGGCTTTTAATTAAATTTAAAAGTAAGCTGGGTTGCCGGATGAAGCGCTTGGGAAAATGTTTCGGATATATTTTGCTTAGTTTTTTGCTAGCTGACTCACTGAATCGTAATTGAATAGGATATTGTGCGGATATTTGGTGAGCTAGTTTTGACAAGGTTTGCATCGTACCTATAGTTATGTGCAGGATGGGTAAACTTGGCTACTTTTAAGGGCAAACTTTTTTTCTGAAGCCGATAAAAATTCTGTGTTTGCAGCTTGATTTTAATTTTCGCGAAAGTTATCTTATTGCATCTTTTTAGAGCATTTGTTTCGAGAGTGAGTTTATTTTCTAATCAATCGAATAGTAGAAAAATACATATCCATGGTACGAATTCCGGATGTATTACCTACGTAAATGTAAACTGCAGCGATTTAAGATATGCCTGGAAAGACATGTAAAGTAACTGTATCCAGTGAAAGAAGCATTAAAATCTAGAAAAAATGTCGGCTATCGATCGAAATTCCTTTTGCGAACAACACTCCAGCACATATAATTAACAGGTTGCTTGGTTGTTTGACACAGACAAATGGAAAAGAAAATGTGACTATACCTCTCATATTTCTCCAAACTGCGGTATTGCTAGTACCAGAAGAAGAACTGCCAAAGACTAGTGAATAGAGATGTAACATTCTTTTACAGAATTACAGTAAATGGCTTTTTGAGAATGATAATCTAAAAAAAGTTTTAGATTAAATGATAAATTTAAGGAACATAGACTATAAAACAGATTTAATTTTAAATATAATATTATAATATTAGAAAATTAATATCGAGTTAGACTAGACACCCCATGAATGCTAAGAGTATATTTCAAATAATAATAATAATAATAATAACGCACCAAAAATTCAAAAGACAAACATTCTATTACAGAATTAGAGTAATTGGCTTTTTGAGAATAATGATAGTTTTAAAAAAAGTTTTTGGGCACGCAGTATTAAGATGATAAATGTAAAGAACAAACTATAAAACAGATTTAATTTTAATTTTAATATTATAATATTAATATTAGAAAATTAATATCGAGCTACAATAGACACCTCATGAATGCTAAGAGTATATTTCAAATGCACTTATCATATGATGAAGGACACTTTACTGTCCAAGAATGTATTTCTTAATAATGCATAACGCACCACAAATTAAACAGACAAACAGAGAGCAATGCAAGTAAGCTGTCACGAATTTAATGTAATTAGAACGAAAAATGCAAATTCAAAAAAGGAATATATAGGTATAGATCTCTGATATTTGTTCAACTGCGGTATCGTTAGTACAGGTTAGAAGAACTTCCAGAGACTAGTGAATAGAGATGTAACATTCTTTTAGAGAAGTACAGTAAATAGCTTTTTGGGAATGAATGAATGAGTCTTAAAAATAGTTTTGGGCACGCTGGATTAGAAAATTAAAATCGGGCTACAATAGACACCTCATGAATGCTAAGAGTATATTTCAAATGCTCTCATACTTTATTGTCCAAGAATAGAATATTTCTTAATAATGATTAAAGCACCATAAATTTAAAACTCAAACAGAGAGCAATGCAGATTAAATGTCACAAATGTAATGCAATTAGAACGAAAGATACAAATACAAAAGAGGAATATATATTTTAGTAATATAATGCGTGTCTTCGCGACCTTGAAAACCATTCTTCACCAGCTAGTTCCCTTCAAAGATATGTTAGTTGTATTGTATTTTTGTTTTAAACAACACATTTAGAGTTCAAGAAATGACTTTTTTTCAAATTAAAAATATTTTATTCAATCATATTTAGCTTTAGCAACAATACGAAAACCATAAATTGCCATAAAGTGCTATAAAAATCCATGGTGCAAGTGGTAACTAGAAAAAGTAACCGCAAACATTTGTTTACGAACATACCGTCCAAAGCCTACTTGCAAAAAGTTCAAGAAATACTTATTCTTCCAAGAAGGTCGGAGTATTCAATGATTAAAACATATACAGGGTGCTCCATAACTAAGAAAATATTAGTTTTATAAACTTGCTTGCTATGACCAAATATTTAGGGAGATAAAAATATGATATAAACTTGAAACAATACTAGATATCCACATGGGGTTTTTACCGTTATGTTATGTGTTTATAAAAAAGATTCCCCTTCTAAATGTCCAATTTAGTCCACCCTCTACTACACCGACGTCGATTTTTTTCGCTAATGTTATTAGATAAATGAACTTTTTAGCCACAAACAACCCATATCGATTAGGTTCTTCGTCTCATACATCATCTCCAATTTTTGATTGACACTCGAAACGATAGCGGTCTTTAAATCCTAATCGTCTACGCCGACGGGAGATTCTTGGAATGATATAAACAGCGGAGGGCGACCACACAATCCGACCAGTTTTCTGCCGTTACGCTTCGATCCATCAGTCATTCCGCCCTCAGAAGAATGTCAACGGTGCCTTCAGTTCCGGATTCTTTTTCTGAGAGCAAAGCGTAGCCGTCGAGCGTCTGGTCCGTGACAGGCGCACTACGTCCACAGCCTCACTTCGGGCGTCTGGCTGCGTCAGTAGCGTCGCGACGGTTCTCGCGCGATTTTGCCACCGTCGAATTCTCGCCCGATCTCGTACGCAACCTCACGCTCGGTTTTCGAACGCGGACACGTCGACGATGACGGTGAGTGAAGTGCAGATATGAACTTCGTGTTTGAGTGATTTTTTCGCCATCGACGTCGGATAGTACTCTTGGTGAGTCGAACGGTAACTTCGAACGTCCATTTTTCCATTCCGCCGGTATTTAACTTAACCTCGCCAAACGGAAGTTCGCAAAAAAAAGCCCGCTGATTGGTATCCATTTTTGGTCCTTCGAGCCGGATTTGAAAATTTACTAGTCGTGCCGGCACCGATTGCATTTTTGTTGGCTGGAAAAATTGAAATGTGACGTCCATTTACTGTCCGCGGGGAAAAACAATGGTTGCTGTCGCGCGTTGCAGTTATTAAAGCCTATTTCGCCTTGTTTATGGGACACACGCAACGAAGTAATTAATTGCCACCAGAATTTACGTACCGGTTAGATGAAAAAAATAATGTACAATAAATCGTCCCACCATTTTGTTGTTGTTCGATGGTGTTTGTTTTGGAGTGGACTTCCTGTTTCAATCACACAAACTCTGCGAAGATATAAATGTTTTGAAGTATTATTTACACTTGAGGCATCATTAATAAAATCATAAAAGTTATCATTATTATCTTCATTATTATTAACAAATAACAAATAAATAAATAAGTCGTGCAGGATTGCGGTGAATAGATTAATTAATGGATAATAGATATACTAAAACTGTTTCGGTATAAATGCGGTTCGATTCAATTTGATTTAATCGGACGACAGTTCCGTCAGTGTTATTTTTTTTTTTCTAAATGTGTCCTTATTTCTTTGAGAACAGGAAACGTCAAATTTAAGTAGATTTTATCTAAAGAAGCAAACACACTTTTTCTAGAATTATGGAGTCAAGATAACAAAAGTTGGTAGTCGCCTGTGATTGATCAAAGGGTGAATTGTCAAAACCAAAATGGTCTCGAGATATAAGCAATTTCGAATTTGAATTTTGATTTTTGTATTCAAAAAGAAAGTACCTTGACGGTCCGAACCTCGATTAAACCCGAAATCAAAATTTTCATTTCGATATTTTAGAAACATACAGAAATATCACGAGTTAATTTACGATTGTTTTCTAATTTTTACCAAATTACGTATTTCTGTTTATTTATATAAAGAGAAAAGATATCTAATTGCAATTACGTTTTTCCCGGAAAAGCGTCGGGACAACGACGTCGAGACATTCTAGTAAACGTCATTTGCATTAGAAAGGAAAGTCGCGATGAATATTCACCGTTTTCTCGACTCACGCGACAAATATTTTTCCTATTAAGATGTTAATTACAACCGGTTTTAGATGCAGAAGAGCCTGCATAGTTTCGTTAGCGATTTTCGCGACATCCCGGACAAAATCTCCAGCGATGTCGGTTACAATCGAAATTAGTACAAAGGAAACAAAAAAAAAGTGAAGCTCGTTAGGCATTCCATGTATAATAAGCGAAATCTGTTCCTAAACGAGTTACACTTAGTTAGGCGGTGCTTAAGCGTAGCACAACCGATGGATATTGCAAGACCGAACTTGCAATTTGCATAAAACCTGTTGAGCCTTTTCATAAAGTATAAGTAATACAGGTGGCGCGGTCTAGTAGAATTCTACACTTAATCACCACTGGAGCATAATATTATTATGTATCAGAAAACTAAAAAAAAAATGATTATATGGAAATGGAAAAGTGGAAACATCACCTACACTCAGTTTCTCGGATTTTTTTAACTTATTAATAAATAAAGAAGTTGGACAAAAAATATTATTTGGGAATATGAAACTCTCGTAAGTATATTGAGACTGCGCACGCGCACTCTCTTCGTGTACCAATATAGAGCACACTAAGTTTACTCTACCACTCTTGAAGTACATGTGAGCCTTGTAGAGGAGATCACACTCAATAAACAATTCTAAATATTGGCATTTGTCAACAAAATCATTTCGAGTTTAAAATTGTTATGTAGAAATTGATATTTGAATATTATTTATTTATTATTATTTTTACAGACGGAGTGTATTTCTACATAAAACTTAGGAAAACGCACAGTTAAAATACAGGTGGAAAAGTAATAAAACTCTAAGTAAAAGCCTAGGCTACAATCTCACAAGCTAAGGAAAGAAATATGTAGTTATGTTAAGCTATGTTACCCTCCCCTCAGTAGTGAAAAGGCGATGAATGTATTGGTTTGTTCGGAAAGTCATTTCGTTTTTTTTGGGGAACATGAAAGACAGTTTTCGTATAATGAATAAATAATTTATTAAATTATATATTGGCCATTCTGGTCCAACACCTTTTGCCATCTTTCTGGCAGTAACATAATTCCCCTCTCAAAAAAGTTTTGGTCCTTGCTGGCAAAAAACTGGTTCAGGTGGTTTTTGACATCTTCATTTGAGGTAAAGGTTTTGCCATCCAAAAAATTTTGCAGGGACCGGAACAAATAGTAGTCGGAAGGCGCCAGATCTGGAGAATATGGTGGATGTTGCAGTACGTCCCATTCAAGCTGTAAAAGTTTTTGGCGAGTGACCAAACTTGTGTGAGGTCTCGCATTATCCTGGTGGAACACTACACCCTTCCTGTTGATTAATTCGGGCCTCTTCTCTTTAAGTGAATTATTCAATTTGTCCAGTTGATGACAATAGACTTCTGAATTAATCGTTGTATTGTCCGGCAAAAGCTCAAAAAAAACGATTCCTTTGACATCCCACCAAACGGAGAGCATCACCTTTTTTTGGTGAATGTTGGCTTTTGACACGCTTTGACCTCTTGCGTTTAACATTGTTGTATACAACCCATTTTTCGTCCCCAGTAATAATCCGCTTCAAAAATGGATCATTTTCTTGACGTTTGAGGAGCGAATCACACACGTCGACGCGACGACACAAATTTCGCTCCGTAAGGACATGGGGCACCCACACATCGAGCTTCGAGGTTAAGCCCATGCCTTTCAAATGGCCATAAACAGTCGAATTCGACAAATTTATTCTCTCACCGATCTCTCGTGTGGTTATTCGCCGATTTGCATCAACTAATGCCTTTATCGCATCTTTGTCAGCTTCGACCGGCCTTCCAGACTGTGGTGCATCTTCGACATCAAAATTGCCGGATCGAAATTTTGCAAACCAGTTCTGGCACTGGCGTACTGTTAACACGCCTTCTCCATACACATCCGTCAATTTTTTTCTCCCTTGGACAGCATTTTTACCTTTTCTGAAGTAAAAAAGTAAAATATGACGAAAATGCTGCTTATTGCTCTCCATATTTAAAAGGGCACCAACCAAAAACTACTGCGTAGAATTAATAGAACTTTTTCACACACAAGCCTTGCAATATCAGCTCTCAAGACATATAATGGTTATGCGGCTTAAGTGTGAAGTTGGTTTCGAAAAAACGTAATTAAGTCCTCTGACGGGAAAAAACGAAATGACTTTCCGAACAACCTTATAGTACAACCGTAATTAGTTCTGTGATACGGTATAAAAAAAGTGCAATTTGGACAAGTTATTCGTACTGGCACCAAAAACCGAAATTTCGACAGAATGGAGGGACAAAACCAACTCGAATTAAAGGGCCACATAATCAATGTTAGCCACCGACACCAAACTTAAAGGCTATATCAAGAAGAAAACGGGTCTGAAATTGTTCGATTCGACGAATATGACATTCGTAATCAGGATTCCATAGAGATGAAGCATATTCTAAGTGGAGTCTAACCAGAGCACAATATAGCAGTCTTATGCAAATCACGTTTTGAAAATATAGTGATGACCTCTTAATAAACCTAACATTCTTCTTTCAAGTGATGTTGGACACATGATATTAAACTTTGGGCTAAACGAAAAGCATTTCGTTCGAACATTCAAGATATGTTCCAAACCTATTCGAAGCTGTTTTTTGCTTAGCAATGATGATCAATCTCAACGACATTCTGCAAAACAAATGAACTGGAAACTATGAGCTCGTTGCTTTTGTTCGAAGACGAATAATTATTTCCACCCGCAGTTCCCCATGTGGCAAATTCATTAAGCGTGCTCATTATTAAATTATCTCAAAATATGGTTATAATGGATTTGTCTACGACGTTATACACACTTTAAAGTCGCTTTGTTCGACTATCTTACAGTCGCAACGGTATAATATGCCTGCGGAATTTGCTTTGATGTTCTCCGTATTTGTTACTACGATTATTTCCCTTGACGAGGACGTTCCTGCCTGCTAGTTTTCGAACGAGAAATTAGTTCCACTGGGGGTTTTGATTAGTGCGGAAACGGATTACCAGTAGCGAAGCGTCTGTGTCGGAACATTGACGGACCGTGCAAAATTTTAACTTCAAAAGTTCAACTAGTGAAGTGTGTACTGTGACAATTTGAACAATTAGCAGTGCGTTCAGTGGTACAGAAACTACCGATGTAAAAAACACAGTGGTTTAATTTGTAATATTTTTTGGAGATGCATATGTAAACCCGAAAAAATATTATGCCAGTATTAATTTTTCGTTTCAATAAATATCAATGCCCGACTCAGTACGTAATGGTGAACTTTTCCTTGTTTTAAATCGTTTATTTAAAAAAAAGAATTGTTGAAAAACAAGCTTTTGTATTCCCAATCATTTAATATGTCAGTATACAAGGGGAAAAGGAAATATTAGATGCAGTTCCGAGAGCATAGAGTAAAGTTTGTGGTACACGATAAGCCCGGCTTATCTAAAGTGATAATATAACTGAGCAGATTAAACATTAATAAACACAATAGTACTAAATTAATTCGGTTACGTTTTGGAAGAACTTAGGAAATATGACAAAATTTTAATTTGAATATATTTTTGTATACAGTAGTTTTACAGAAAGAAAACTAATAATCTTGTCAGGCGTTGTGATGGCAAACTGTTCCTTATTTGCAAGGACTGACTTGCAAAGAAAAGCAAAAGAGTCTATGTATGAATTTTTGATAAATTAGCCACATTTTCAGAAATGGGCCACAAAAGCCGCAACACGCTAACTTGATTAATAAGGGAAATCAAAATTAACATACGTTTTTTCCAAAAGCGGAATTTTCGTTTATTTTACCCATGAAATTCCCTCTAAATATGAATAAATTCCCTTGCA